CGGTGTATAGATGTTAGTGACATCATTTCTCCCCATTTCCTCCATCTTTTCTTCTTCCTCTATCTTCTCTTTCTTCAAATTTTTTCAGTTCATCATATTTTTGCTCTACATAGCTCTTCATCTCTTTCATTTCACCCTTCATTTGCCCCCTTCATCCAAGTTTTTCTCAACCACCTCCTTCACCCCCGTAAGTTCACTCCTCAATTCCACAACCTCCTTGACAACTACATCAATTTTTCCACCCGTCAACAGATTAAGTTCCCTCAACACCTCAACTTCATTCACCACTACATCTACATTTCCTTCCACTTCCCCCTTATGTCTCTCAAATGTCTCTTCGAGTCTTGATTGTGTTTGATGAATATAAAAAATGATTTTTTTAATATCAGCCAATTCAGACATCAAAATTTCGAATTTACTCTTTTTTAATATCTCTTCTTCCTTCTCCAATGCCTCATCTGCTTCCTCTGTCTCCTCTACCTCCTCTGCCTCCTCTACCTCATTGACAATAACCTTCAAAATTAAATTTGTATTAAGACATTGATTATATTCTTAATATTATTTAATTACATTTATTACCATTTCTAGCTTCCTCGGTCTATCCAACTTCAACTTTACCATCACTCAAACCACCTCTTCCTTCCCCCATGCACGGATGCGTGCCACTCCGTTTCTTTCATAAGCCAGCAAACTATCACAGCCCGACCAAAAATCAAACAGTGCAACTTGCATTTATAATAAAAGTTATCATTTTATATAATAACTATACTATCATTTTATATAAAAACAAAAACATTCTTCAACTCAGTTACCTCTAAGATTGCTATGCACCCTTTGAGGTATCTCTAGCTGCCCTTTTGAAAGGTGATTATTGATTCAATCAGTCTCGAATGGATATATTCAGCCCAATTGAATTCACCCTTCAAGCCTTCATCGCAAATGAGATTCATATTGTCCTTGTTCGTTGACGTATCACCCGTTGGACAAAGAAATATCCCGACAAGGTACAATAGAACTCGGGCCTTCAGCTCACCCCCCCTTAAGATCCACTTTTGATATCCTCTTCAACTTCAGCATACGTCACCTTCTAATTCAAACCATATTTAGAGGCAAGTGTTTTCCAGTTCTTACTCCTACAGACTTCTACAACACTTTTGCCTTTGTTTTGTACCCCCAAGACGGTTGCAGCAGTCGATACCCCCAGAGGGAATGAATAATCACCATATTTAGCAATACATTGTTTGACATTAAATTTCTCCATCAAGGATCGATACAATTCCCTCCGAATTGGTCGATCCCCTACTCCTATTAACGATCCAAACCCCATTTCCCTCAGCACATTCAACTGATCCTTCTCTTTAAGGTGTTCAATTAATGAATTTACCCTTTTTATGCTGCACCTTGTCGACACTTCCTACATTTTTTAACAATATATAATGTTATTGTTCTTATATATCTTGTATCAACGTATTTACAAGTTTAATGAATACATTCTTTTCATGTGCTTTCATCCGTTCTTTGTATTCTTTACTATCATTCCTTGACTGTGTGATGTAAGGTTCATTTTCAGCATCACTCATCGAATTCCATTTCGACCTCACATCTTCTGTCACCTAATAATAAGCATAAACGTTTCTTAATCAATACATTAACGCTAAATAATACTCAATGTCAATTTCATTTTACATACCGAACCAGTGTATGTGTCATCTTCCTTCATCCTTTTACATTCGGCCATACTGTCAACATTTAAAATTTGTAATCAATTTAAAGTTCTTAAATACTTTAATTCAATTACCATTTCAATAATAATAACAAAAATACATTGATACTTACTAGAAGTATATATATCCACCCGTTGGTTGCTTTCCACCCATTGACTTCATTTTTCCTTCATATATCAGTTTGCGCAAATCAAATCAAATACTGTTTACATACACTTTATTCAATATACAAAAATCAATAACCACTCTTTGTGGTAAAACGATTAGTCTTCAAAAGAATTTGAATGTCCACTACAACAAGTGTCGACACATTTATACAACCTAAAATATCATTTTCTACCTATAATATCATTTTTTTACTTATAATATCATTTTTTACATATAATATTAAATAAAAGTATCGAAATCGGTCCCAAATACTTCTTTACTTCGAAAACCTCAAATAACAACACATAAAAATCATATTTCCGATTACTGTAATAATAAAAAACTAGGGTTTCAACAACGTACCTTTCGATTCGACTGCAGCAACAAACAAATAAAACTTCGCTGGAGAAACGCCTTCTTAAATGTAACAACAATTACGCTTCGATTTCAAAATCTCTATCTATTTTAAGAGGAAATTTAGCTGTCTTTATTTTTACACCGGATATGTTATTTATATTTAATCGATACAACTACCTAAGTGTCGATACTTTTATGTCAAGTGTCAATACTTTCGATAGGATATTTACCTATTTCTTTGAAAGTATCGATAATTTATTATGCGTACTTATTAAATTATCGACACTTTCAATATATCTGGTATCGTTTTACCAGTTTTGTCAATTTTAGACCTGTTTTGTCCTATTTTTGCCTGTTATATTATTATGGATCGATACATTTTTTAAAGTATCGACACTTTATTGGCGCTATAACTTATTCTCTTTTAAATTTCAAAAGTGTCGATAATTATATTAAAATATCGACACTTTCAACATATCCGGTAGTTATTTACCTGTTTTGTCATTTTGAGACCGGTTTTGTCATATTTTAGGTTGTTATATTGTTATGGATCGATACATTTTCATAAAGTGTCGACACGTTTTAGGCGCTATAACTTCTTCTCTTTTAAATTCAGAAAGTGTCAATACTTATATTAAATTATCGACACTTTCAACATATCATGTAGCGCTTTACCGGTTTTGTCATTTTTAGACCGGTTTTATCCTATTTTTACCTGTTATATTGTTATGGATCGATATTTTTTTTTAAAGTATCGACACTTTGTAGGCGCTGTAACTTCTTCTCTTTTAAATTCCAAAAGTGTCGATACTTATATTAAAGTATCGACACTTTCAACATATCCGATAGTTATTTACCTCTTTTGTCATTTTGAGACCGATTTTGTCATATTTTAGGTTGTTATATTGTTATGGATCGATACATTTTTTTAAATTGTCGACACGTTTTAAGCGCTATAACCTCTTCTCTTTTAAATTCAGAAAGTGTTGATACTTATATTAAATTATCGACACTTTCAATATACCCGATATCGTTTTACCAGTTTTGTCATTTTTTAGATCTGTTATATTATTATGGATCGATACATTTTTTTAAAGTATCGACACTTTATAGGCGCTATAACTTCTTCTCTTTTAAATTCAAAAAGTGTCGATACTTATATTAAAGTATCGACACTTTCAACATATCTGGTAGTTATTTACCTATTTTGTCATTTTGAGACCGGTTTTGTCATATTTTAGGTTGTTATATTGTTATGGATCGATACATTTGCATAAAGTGTCGACACGTTTTAGGCGCTATAACTTCTTCTCTTTTAAATTCAGAAAGTGTCGATACTTATATTAAATTATCGACACTTTCAACATATCTGGTAGCGCTTGACATGTTTTGTCCTATTTTTACCTGTTATATTGTTATGGATCGATACATTTTTTATTTGTATCGACACAAACCGACAAGCTAAGTTTGTCGGTTACCAAATTTTTTAATATTTCTTCATGATTTAGACCTACTACATTATTATTACTCAACATTTCCAATAGCACTGAACTCATTTTGTTAAATATATTATAATGTATCTAATAATGCTATATATTAACATGTCTTTCCTGAGACAATCCCTACAACAAATCTATCTAATCTTCTCAAATGTTGGAGAAAGAGAAAAGAAGCAGTCTTTACCCACAAAAAATCTGTCACAAAACTAAACAAGGCGGGACAGATTACAAACACCTCTATCTTCAATAAACAAATACGCAATTAGAATTGTTTTTTATTTTCATGTATTAAGAAGAATCTGCGATTTTAGATTTTTTGGAAATTATTGAAAAGTATTCAACAAAATATTGGAATTGAAGTTTAATTATAATTGATGGGTCAACCCCATCATTCACTTAACAACAAATAATGTCAGGGTAATCAAAGTATAACTTTTCAATAAATTTAATAATTAGTTTATAATTTCTAAACGTTTAATGATCAAAATGAAATGAAAATCATAACTTAGAGATTACTGATATATTTATCTTTTTTATAATGTTACTAGTGTATCCAAATTGATAATAATGTTGACGTTTAACGTCATAAAAAAGGCCTAGATTTTTCAATTGCATTTAATCATATAATTTGATTATATGAAAATATATTGCATCATGTTCAACATAAAATAAATTAAAATATCAGCTCAACGTTTAATATTTTTAAAAATTATTATATTGATTTACGAATCAAACGATCTTAGTAACTAAATAAATTATTGTTATTTATAGAGATTTTGGGTTCGAGCACGATTTTTGCATATGTATTTGAATGTTTATTGTCAAATGATTAGAAGTCTTTCGAATAGATTCAATATCTTTAGAAATTACTTGTGTTATTTGAATATATTGATAATATTATATAAAAATATAAATGTAAGTATAACATTCATGCCAAATTTAAATAGAAGAATCAAACTCAACCAAGTCATTGGTGTAATTTAGAAATTACTTGTGTTATTTAAATCTTTGATATCAAATATCGAACTCCAGTTGTGTATAATAACACTTCCATTTTACTCTTATAAAAAAATAAAGGTATTATATTTCAATTTTTATATAGTAAAGGGACTAAAAGTAGAATTTTACCTAATATTAATAAGAAAGGACTATAACAGTACTTTAAATACCTCATCAACTCTTCGAAGTCTAAAAAATTCTGTTCAGTTGGGTAACAAACCTTTCTCTCTCTCTCTCTCTAAGATTCTCCGGCCGATCATCAACATCGGAAACTATGAAGAAACTTTACCGTCGAGGCACCACCGTTCATCCATAACCGTCACCATCAATCACCGTCGATCATCTATTTTTCCTTCCGGCCACCATCTTAACCCTAGTTGCTACACTTTCCCCGGAGGACAAACAAGTGTTGGCCTACCTCATCTCTTGCTCCAACAACGATTTCGGCAACTTTTCAAGCCGCCGTAAGAACAACACCCCAAAAACACAAGCTAAAAGAACATCCGGCAGCGACAGCGACCATCCGCCTCTTTTCACCTACGATTGTTTCAGGTGCTATACGAGTTACTGGGTCAGATGGGACTCGTCGCCTAACCGGCAGCAGATACACCATATTATCGATGCTTTTGAAGATGAGGTCTCCCGAAGCAATAATACGAAAAGCAAGAAGGAAAGGAAGAAGAGAGGTGGTTCTGCTGATAACAGTTCTCGTAGTTTGAAGAAACCAGAGGAAGATTCGAGTGAGTTGAAAACGATTGAACCGAGCGGCGGCAAAGGCAACGGAGATGGTGGTGAAGGGTCGGTGAGGAGGCTGTTGAACTTCATCGGAGAGAGGATTTGGAATGTTTGGGGGCAATGAATCTAGACGAGGATCTAGGGAAAAGAGGTGAAGTTTTAAGCATGGTTTTCAGAACCGGACTGGTTAGCGAACCGATCATGCTATCGGTTCACTGGTTCAACCGGTCGAACCGGTTTGACCGGTCGGAAGAACCGGACGACGTCATAATTATTTAAAAACTTAAATAAAAATACCAAAAATATTTAATAAAAAATAATTTTTTATATCACAAGTCATATTCAAAGCAAGTCATAACATATATAAGTTAAAAACCATAAAATCAACTGAAACAAAATGATTCAAATTAATTACAACATAATATTTAAGGTAAAATATATTAAATAATAAATATAATTATATAACTATAATTAAAAAATAAATTTGAGGTTAAAAAATCATAACAAAATTATATAACTATAATTATATAATTATTCTTTCACTTCAATCAAGCTCGAATTTTAGGCTTCAATCGAGCTTCTAATTTTTTTTTTAGTTCAAGCCTTTTGAGTTCAAGTTTCAATATTATATTTCGAGTTTGAGTTGAACTTGATAATTTTTAGCTTGTGAGTTTGAGTTGAGCTTACTTTTAAAGTTTTCAAGTTCGAGTCGAGCTCAGCAATACTCGAGTTCGACTTGGCTCGTTTAACAAACGACGTTGTTTGGTTTAATTTTTTTAAAAAAAAAAACAAAAACAAAAATCCCGGTTTTTCTAGTTTTTTCCGGTTTTCTATCGGTTCGGTTCGAACGATTCAGCGGTTCTGACCGGTTCACTAATAGCAGTTCAACCGGTTTAGATTAAACCGGACTAAACAACGATTCTCGGTTAAATCGGTTGAACCGGCCGATCCGATCCGATTTTCAAAACAGAGGTTTTAAGTCTTTTCCTTCTCTTCTTATGTAACTAAATGAAATTACTTATCCTTTTCTTTTACCTAATCAATTTTCTTCTCTTTTTATGTATAATTAAACCTTCTTACAATGTAAGAAAATGGGTAATTTTTTATCTAAAAATCATCATGTTTTTTTTCCTTTGAAGTATAAGAATTTAATTCAAGCACGTGTATTTATAAGGTCCTTATACACTGTTAATATATTAAAAAAATAAAATAATATTATCTTCTAATCATTTTGAATTATTTAAAGAAAAATTTAATTTGAAATATATGAAATTTGATGTCTATAGGATGCAGAAAAATTGAAGTTCCATACAAATGAGTAAGGCAGAAATTCCTTCCATAAATGTGATGAATCAATGTGATTTACTTACTACTAGTGTACTGCTGCCCTCACATCATTGTCCTCTTCTTCGTTATATGCACTTCTAACCCTTTGTACCTTCTAAATTATTCAAATCCCGTCCTTATTCAAAAAGGTTTGATTAACCCCTAAATTTTCAAATTATATTTCTTATTAATTTTAGATATCCAAAATATTTCTAGATCAAAGTAGATATTTAAATATTTTCATTATCATCTGAGGTATCTAAAATTTTATTATGTTGTCATTTTAAGACCAATCCATCAACTATTATTAAAAAAAATCATCAATTAATAATTATTCGACATGTGAGATTAATTTCTAATTAATACTATTAATTTTTCAAAATCAGACAAATTGAGTCAAGTCTGGGTGACCCATTCCCCACTCCAAGCTCATGCCATTCTCGGTCCTTATATTCAGCATTCCTATCTTATCCTTTTTATGTTTTCTCTCCAGTTTCATTTTTTTAAACTTTTAACATTTAACTATGGATTCCGCACGAATTAAACATTCTTAATGATTAAAAAATAATTCTTATAACATATTATCTTAAGGCTTAAGAGATGATTGGATATTTATTATCAAATGATTAAGAGTTTTCAAATATAACTCTGAATTTTTAAGATTGAATTTTGGTATCCTAGATCATGGTCTGAATTTCTGATACGTAAAGCTTTTCAATATGTATAGGTTCATCTGTTCGGACATTAAAAACATAAAGCTCTTTCCCAAGTTAAAAGATTATAATATTTCTAAAATTTGAAAAAAGATATGTTATGAAATTTATTTTTTAGACTTATTTGAGTGGGGGAAATGGATAAACACGAGTCAAGTAGTCCAAAGTCATTTTCATACAAAAGACCCTCAAGCTTTCCTAAGTCACTCAGCTAGCCGCGTTTGAATCGTTCTCCCGAACTGAGTTTTAATCAAATTGACCAAAGTTTCAATTTTTAGATTATTTAATTCAGATATTTATAAATTTATGGATTTAGAGAATTAAAAGATGTAGATATTGACATTCTTACATTCGAATTTGTTAAAACCATGTCATTAAAGGTTAAATTATTTTTAGTATCGAATTTAAATTTAATTTAATCAAAATTTCAGAGTTGGATAAAGAAAATTTAGAGTTTGGTCATAAATAAACTTAAACCGGTAGACACGTATATTGCCCCTCATCAATAGTCATTAATAATTAGGATAGATAGTAGTAGTCTTTTTCTGACTTGCAATTCTAATATTATACGTGAAAGAAGGGTTAAGAAAAATGTGCGATAACAACAACGATAATTATGAGAAGACCTGGTCAGGCACAATTTCTCTTAATACCAGTTTATTAGATAATAAATCCAAATCTCAATTGGAACGTGTGATTCATGTTAATGATTGCAATTTTATGATGAATCACTAAAGTTGACTCGAGATACATGCAATTAGTGGGTGAAGATTTTCCTCATAACATGAAAGATTACTTCCTTTTCTCTCATCGCCAAATCGAATGTACAAGTTTATGATAAGACTTAGGACTGTCATGCCATGGGATAAGTCTGCCTCTCGTCATTTGTTTTTCCCAATACGAAGAGTCAAAGTAGGGAAAACAATAGAATAGTGGCTTCAAACCCTAAATCACTTCTAATGAGCCGCCAGCATCCTCCAAGGCTTTGATAATTAAAAGAACATAAAAAAAATGTATAAATTATTATGTAATCTTGACCATTGGAGAGCGATAGGCCAAGAGAAATTACCTTTCTAAGAGTCACGCATGTACAGGTATAAATGAGCCCATAGATACACATCCCTTCATCCGTTCAATGATGGCGTTTCGGTTGACGAGTCCCGAATGGGAAGTTAACGGAAGGCCCTCTCTTATGCATTCGTCATATTTTTCCAAGGTGGAAACAATGTCGCTGAAGTCCGGCCGCATCGCGGGGTTAGCTGCCCAGGAGCGCTTTATGAGGTGCGCGAGTATTGGCTGACAACTCTCCGGAAGTGGAGGTCGTTCATTCTGCCAAACGAAATGATAAAACATTTAGTGAAAATGTTTGTGTATCATATACAGTTCAAATTCTGTTTCACTGAAGAGTTCGATAATGTATACATGTGTTAAAGTGAAGAGTCGGAACAACATAGGTTCTTAGTGAAAGCTCTTGAATTCCGAAAGCATTCGGGGTAATTCAACAATTCATAGGGTTTATCAGTCAAACAGACCGTTGCCTTGAGAAACAAGGAAGAATATCTAACCTTTTCAGCCACAGCGAATGCAGCCGGCACAGGGGTCTTTCCTTGGAACGGAAGCAACGCCGTAGTGCGCTCCCATAACGCTATCCCGAAGCTGTACACATCGACTTTCCTAGTATAGGGTTTCTCCTTAATCATCTCCGGCGCCATCCATCGGTAAGTCCCCATGTTCCCTTTAGTTTCCCGGCACTTTGTTTCTAGAAACGACGTACCGAAATCCGCCACCTTAACCCGCATTTCGTCATTCAGAAGCAGATTATTCGATTTGAGGTCTCTGTGTATGACGCCTTGTGAATGAAGGTACTCCATCCCACGGGATATGTCGAGCGCAAACCTCAGGATCGTCTAGGTCGAAAGCGAGTAGGGTTCTTTCTTGTTCAGGTACATCCTCAGTGTCCCTTGTGCATGTATTCCGTGATGATACAATACACAGGCGGCTTCTTACAAGCAGCGATGAACTGAACTATGTTGGGATGAAATAGACGTGAGAGCAAAGCAACTTCGGACTTGAATTGTTGCTCGAGCTTCGTCCTCGTCTCCTCCATTTGGTTTGGGATCCTCACCATTTTCACGGCAACAGCCCTCTGCTTGTAAATTCCTCGATAAATCCGACTATGAGCACCAGAGGCGAACTTGTTACCGATGAACAAATGTGAAAGATCGGCGGTCCATTCTTCTTGATCCTCTTTCGAAACTTCCCACGTCTCGACGTTCTCTGAATCCAAAATCATCGACCACGATTCCAAGCTATCGAATCGCTTCTTCTCCATGTTCACCGTGCCCGAATTCAACTGCGACCTCGATGAAGAAGGGATCTGCAAGTGTTTGCTCTTCGATTTACGAAGGCGAAATGCATGGAAACATGAAGTTACCATTGGAAAAAGGGAAATTTCATGGGAGAGGAATGAGATGCATGTAAACGAATAACAAGTAGAGGAAGTTATTATGGGGTTTCATCATTCATCATGTCATGGTTTTCTGTTTGGTTTCATGGAAAATGAAGAGAAAATGGAGAGTGGTGAAATTTTCACGGGGGGTGTTGTTTGTGAAATAGGATTGAACTGAGGAGATTAGGTTGTTTAGCAGCAGAAATACGAATTCAAAGCAGAGGATTTCAGAGGTATCTCGTGACTGACTGACTGATAAAGTTTGAAAGTAATGACTTTTGGGAGATTTATAAAACGGTTAATTTCACAAGAGATCCCCCAAATTATTTTCTTATTAATCTAGGTCGATCACAAGATAATAGGAATATCTATTTAAATTTTTTGTTATTTATTAGTAACAAAATATACCTTACATACACATATACTTTAACTCGAATCCTTTACCTTTAAGAAGAGCAATATCTATTTCTACTACTAAAATCACTTAGTGAATTAACCTAACCTCAGTCCATTCATTAAATGTGCATAGTCAAAATCGATCTATACTAAACAAATCGTTTGAATAAGAGAACAAATATGTTCGATAATTTAATCGGTGACGCACAGTCAAAATTGAGAGGATCATTTCTCGTCTAT